ACTCAATGTCAACAAGATCCGTCAGCCCGGCAACCGATCGTTGTGGTGCAACCTCGTGACCCAGGCCCATTCAACGGCACAAGTGGCATACACGTCGATGACTGGCTGGTTCTATATAAGTGCGTCAGCAGCAGCAACCATTGAGATCCGACGCTTATGTTGGCGAACATCATCTTCTACTTGCATGGAACGGCAAAACTCTGGTACGAGACACATCAAGAAGAGTTGACTAGCTGGGACGTCTGTAAGCAGAAATTGCGCTATCTATTTGGGAAACCCATCGGACGTCAAGTGGCCGCAAAGAAAGAGCTTGCGACTCGTGCCCAGACATCCACAGAGTCGTACATCACGTACATCCAGGACGTGTTGGCTTTGTGCCGCAAGGTCGACAAGGACATGCTCGACGAGGGCAAAGTCGGACACATCCTGAAAGGAATTGCCGATGACGCCTTCAATTTTCTCCTGTGCAAGGACTGCTCGACGGTGGAGTCGGTCATCGAAACATGTCGTCGCTTCGAACAGGCAAGAAGTAGGCGCATAGTTCACCGATTTGACCACCTTCCCAACATGGCAGCTACCTCCTCTTGCGGATATTTGCCCACACTACATCAACCACCAGCGCCGGAAAACGTCACCAGAATAGTCCGTCGGGAACTCGAGGCTATGGCACCCGCTATGTCTAGCGTCAGTGCGCCAGGACGTAACCTCGATGCTGTTTCAATAATACAGGCCGTGGTTCGCCAAGAGATCGCGAATATGGGCATTTCGCCACCTCATCAAAATGCCCCTGCTACTTTCAGCTCGGTTACAGTCGTTGCGGCTGCCACTCCGAACCGAACGTTCGCGCCACGACGAAACCCAGCTGAATGGCGCACTCATGATGATCGGCCCATATGTTTCACGTGCGATCGGATAGGACACATCGCTCGCCATTGCCGCAGCCGTTGGACCTCATCACCTCGACCGAGCTTCTATGATTGGGGGCCTCACTCTGAACGTGCACCTTATGCCCCGTCCTACCGTGCTGAGAGAGGTGCAGAGCATAATCCAGAACGTCGGACCAGCCGCTCGCCATCGCCCGTGCGTCGTCAGTCCCGCTCGCCCCAACCCCGCCGTTCTCGGTCTCCCTACGACCGTCGCTCGGAAAACTAGCCGGTGCAGCCCCCGGAGGTGACGCTGCATACACGACTCGGATTGCAAATCCTCTGATTACTCCCGACCAGCGGTGCAACCTTCTTACAATTCTCGTTGATGGTTTACCTGTAACTGCTCTTATTGATACCGGTGCACAAATATCTGTGATGAGCTCAGACCTCCGCCGCCGCCTCCAAAAAGTTCTGACGCCTGCGATTGCACCTACCGTTCGTACAGTGGATGGGAGTACTCCTGCTGTGCTTGGAATGTGTACTGCGCGATTAACGATTTCTGAGCATCAAACTTCAGTTCTGTTCGCTGTACTGGAAAATTGCCCTCATGACCTCATCCTTGGACTCGACTTTCTGACTTCACACGCTGCGCTCATTGACTGTTCCAAAGGTCTTCTTCGGCTCGAACTACCATCCTTCTCAGAGACCGTCTCTACTGGCCCACCTCGTCTACGCTCTGTCGATTTCCTCAGACTTCCGCCGCAAGCCGCAGTCCAAGTCCAACTCTCACCATATCCTCCAGTACCCTATGGTGATTATGTTGCTGCCCCAATTTCTGATGTGGTCATGACACGTAATGTTGCACTCCCCAACATGGTGGTTACGGTTAAGGACAACCAAACTTCACTTCCCGTCCTCAATTTTGGCTTCTCAGCGCAAGTTATTCCTCGCGGCATGTCACTTGCGCATCTGACACCACTAGTCGACTACACAGTTTCCACCCTAACCACCGATTCGCAACCCGATTTTTCATCAACGTCGCTCTCATCACGTTCCTATTCCGACCTTTTCAAGCCAATGCTATCTGACAAGCTCACCTCTGAACAAGCCTCTGCTTTCTGCCATGTGCTTGCTTCTTATCAGGACATCTTTGACTTCGGCGACCGTAATTTGGGCCAGACATCTGTGGTAACCCATCGCATCGACACCGGTGACGCTCGACCGATTCGCCGACGACCCTACCGTGTGTCAGCCCAGGAGCGTGCTAGTATACAGTGAGAAGTCGATAAAATTCTTCATAAGGGCATAATCGAACCCTCATCTAGTCCCTGGTCCTCACCCGTTGTACTTGTTAAAAAGAAGGACAATAGCTGGAGATTCTGTGTTGATTACCGCCACGTCAACCATATTACCAAGAAAGATGTCTATCCCCTACCGCGCATAGATGATGCACTCGAATGCTTGCACGGTGCCAAATATTTCTCTTCAATAGATCTTCGCTCAGGCTACTGGCAGATCGCTGTGGACGACAAAGACAGAGAGAAGACGGCCTTCGTGACTCCTGATGGACTTTATCAGTTCAAGATGATGCTTTTTGGATTATGCAGTGCCCCCGCGACTTTTGAGCGCATGATGGACTCTCTCCTTCGAGGCATGAAGTGGACCATCTGTCTCTGCAATCTTGATGATGTTATTGTTTTTTCGACTACTTTTGACGACCATCTTACCCGTCTGTACACAGTGCTTAATGTTTTCCGACGTGCCAACTTGCAACTTAACTCGTCCAAATGCCGCTTTCGGCAACGCCAAACTTGCGTACTCGGCCATCTTGTTAATGCTGCGGGCGTTCAACCAAATCCTGCAAAAGTCCGAGCAGTTCGCGACTTCCCCACACCCCGCTCAGCCAAGGACGTCCGAAGTTTTCTGGGACTGTGCTCCTATTTCCGTCGTTTTGTCGAGAAGTTTGCTGGAGTAGCCCGTCCTCTAACCTGCCTCTTCAAAACGGATGTCGCATTCACCTGGGGCCAACAGCAAGCAAACGCCTTCTCGTCGCTCGTTGACATTCTCACCAATCCACCAGTCCTAGCACACTTCCACCCATCTGCCGCCACGGAGCTTCGTACTGACGCCAGTGGCCACGGCACAGGCGCAGTGCTGGCGCAGTGGCAACAAGGCATGCACCGCGTCGTCGCGTATGCAAGCCGACTGTTGTTGCGCTCGAAACAAAATTATTCCATCACAGAACGCGAGTGCTTAGCTCTCGTCTGGGCCATTGCGAAATTCCGACCGTACCTGTATGACCGACCATTCTCAGTTATTACGGACCACCATGCGCTTTGCTGGCTCTCCTCACTGAAGGACCCTACGGGACGCCTTGGTCGCTGGGCGCTGCGCTTACAAGAGTACACTTTTTCCGTATCCTATAAATCCGGACAACTTCACAAGGATGCCGACTGCTTGTTCCGTTACCCAGTCGATCCCCCTGACACGATGGAAGATGGACAAGAGGCCCTCGTTATTTCAGTTACCGACTTCACCGACATAGCTGCTGAACAACGCCGTGACCCCTCTTTGCGTGCTATTATCAACGATCTGCACTCTCCCCACCCTGAACACTCCTTACAACTGTTCATTCTTCACAACGACATCTTGCACCGCTACAACGCCCACCCTGATGGTGCTGAGCTTTTACTCGTTCCTGTATATCTTCGCTCAGACGTTTTGGCCCAGCTCCATGATGCCCCCTCCGCTGGACACCTAGGGGTGTCACACGCGTATGACCGTATTCGCCGCCGATTCTTTTGGCCTGGCCTCTACCGTTCTGTGCGACAGTACGTTGCGGCATGCGACCTCTGCCAGCGCCGCAAGACACCTGCTCTGGGACCTGCTGGTACCCTCCAGCCCATTGAAGTACCAGATGAGCCATTTTTCCGAGTCGGCCTCGATCTTCTAGGACCTTTTCCCGTGTCGGCCACCGGTAATAAGTGGATTGCTATTGCTACCGACTACGCAAAGCGGTATGCCGTTACACGCGCCCTCTCCACCAGCTGCGCTACTGATGTAGCCGATTTCCTTCTTCATGACATCATTCTGCGTCATGGTGCTCCTCGTCAGTTGAACACCAACCGCGGCAGCTGTTTTCTATCTAAAGTAGTCGACGAGCTCCTGCGATCCTGCTCTACCCACCACAAGTTCACTACAGCGTACCATCCGCAAACCAACGGCCTCACGGAACGCCTCAACCGCACTCTGACGAATATGTTAGCGATGTACGTCTCCAAGGATCACAAAGATTGGGACATCTACTTACATTTCGTTACCTTCGCATACAACAGTTCACGTCATGATACAGCTGGATTTTCACCTTTTTACCTATTGTTTGGTTATGACCCGCCTTTGCCCATGGACACCATGCTCCAATCTGACGCCCCTCATCGACTGCTTATGCTCATGATGCCCTGGCTCGAGCTGACATCGCCCGCCAAGCAGCCCGAGATTGTTTATGTGCCTCGCAGCTTAACCAAAAGAGTGCTTACGATCGCCGGCACCGTAACGTACAGTACTCTCCGGGGTCCCTCGTCTTGCTATGGTTACCATCACGTCGTGTTGGTCCCTGCGAAAAACTGATGTCCCGTTACGTTGGCCCCTACCGCGTCATACGCAACATCACCAGCGTGACCTATGAGATAGCTCCTCTCCATACCACGTCAGTACCAGCTTCAGTCCCGACCGATATAGTGCACGTCTCACGGCTTAAGCTATATTACTCACGCCTCGAGAATTGATCGCACCGGGACGGTGCTTCTGCCGCCGGCGGGTAATGTAACGGGCTAAGTACATGCCTGAGGATGACGACGACGAAGTGCTGAACGTGAACGTGCTCGGACTGCAGCAGCGCTGTACGCATTTGCTCGCCAGTATATTCGCCAGTACCCATTTGCTCGCCAGTGTATACTTTATTCCCCGTAACATCATCACGTGATTGCTGAGAGAGTATGAGGGGAAAGGCCACAGCTGGCACCATTCCAGGGCACGGACGGATGGACGCGAGTATAAGGCAACGGTTTATTTTATAAATAAAAGCAGGTTGTCATCCATTTAGAGCTTGCTGCCGTTCGTCACGATTGTTGGTGTTTAGCCGGACCACGGAGCCAGGCCGAAGGTGCCAGGAGCAGCGTATGCTGGAATAGGAGCTGACGCCGATTTCACCGCCGCAGGGACACTGACAGGTCTAGCGTTGAAGACCACGCCAGCGCTGGCGCCAGGTGCTGTTCCCGGCTCGTTGGTGTCCACAGTGGCACGGAAGCCATTGGCGTCAGCCACATACGACACGCGGCGGTAGATGCCGTTGGCGTCGCGGTAGCCGTACGTCCCGGTCTTCACGTTGTTGGCGTCGCCCTGTTCCTTGTGGTAGGACTGCGTGCCGAACTCGTCCACGTTGTCGTAGCCAAAGCTGTATGGCTGCGGTGGCTGTGAGTGGATGGATGTGCGTGTCAGTGGGCACATCGTAAACCAATGTTGGCTTGCACTGATGTCACTGAGACCAACACTGTGTTGGTGCTCCACATAGCACAAATAAGGTTTAGACGTCGCATGTTATATTGCTTGCAACTTCTTTTCTGATTGACGCGTAGAGACCAATAAAGTTATGACCACAAATACTGAAAAAAGGTTAAATGTGATATGACTGCGCAGACTTAACGTCATCAACGCTACCGTGTTTGCGAACCAGTATAGCTACGAAGCGGTGACTGTGAAGTACCGGTTCATTTGATCTCAGCAACTGGAATATTATTTTGCAGATATACGTACTTTTCTTGCAATATGTTAAAGGTATTCTACGTATCGGTCCCGAGGGCTGAAATAGTTTTGAGTTTCAAGAACTAAAGAAATTTTAGATATTGTAACGATGAAGCGAAACTAATACATTAGCAGAACTTTCGTAGATAATGACAAGAATGCGACCACCTTAGGTAGGCCCAGTGTAGCTTTTTGCAAAACTACACTGCGCTACACAGAGCATTCCCGACAGGAACGTGGCCACTGCCTGGTTTTCAAGAAAGGAAATGTGAGCAAGTCAGATGTTGATTATTGTTGTGTAGCAGAACGACTCTCCGAATGCTAAATTTTTTGATAGAGTGATAACGCAGTACTATACGAACAAAACGTAGTTTGAAAACGCGTTATCCCGCAACAGAGGGAAATCCGGTGCCATAGTTGATACGCACGGAGACTGGCTCGACAGAATAGATGCCTGGTGTGGCGGCTGCCGCTGCGAGTGGTCCACGAAAGCCACCGAAGAAGCGCCCTTGCGGCCCAAATGGCCCCTCAGCGAGGACCACCGGGATAAGGGTAGCGGCAAGGATCTGCAAAAGTGCACGCGAAAAATAATAAATTATCGTATGAGATGCAGCATCCGGTTTTCAAAAGAAAGAGTGTGCAAAACAACTGCCCTCGCAGTTAAAAGTGTAAATCAGAAACCCGAAACTTAACATTGGATGCATTCGTTGTTAAAAGACGTCTGCATTGTCGTTGTTTACATCAAGTCCACACCCCAAATGCGACTGTCGCGGCCATCATTGAAACTGCACGCTAGGACTTAGGACTTGGAAGCGGGATACGAAAACCAGGGAATAAACCATGCGGCTGAACTTAAAACTGAAACCGACCTCGTCTAAACCGATTCATTCGGCTGCTCTTTCGTGTCTTCTGTATGTTGATGAAAGCTTGTCTTGTGACAAGAATGCCGAATCTTCTGTATAAGGTATATTTTAAGTACGTGCACCCCTCAGCGCTCCTAATAACTGTTGAGGAGCGGAAATGACTGTAAATATTCGTACATAGTTTTTTTTCACGACGAGATGAGCCTATATTTTAAAACTGCCCACTTTTCAACAATCGCAAACTAACAATCAAATAATGAAGAGACAAGTAAACAGATGATGTGGTATATTATAGTTTTGTGCTCAGCTCGTGCACGAGGCTGGAAGCTCACGTACAGTTGGAATGGAAACACGTGATATATACTGTAGACACCGTTCTCCCCCCCCCTCCCCCCCCCCCCCAAAAAAAAAACGCCCAAAAAGCAGCAGTGCTACTTGTATAATATGTTTTCACATTAAGGAGCCTGCTGTGAGATGCACGCTCATGCACAGCCAAGCTCTACATACCAGTTTTCTCGAAGGCAATATACATACCTTGGCAATCATCATTGTTTGGTTACGTTAGTGCTGTTCGACTATCTTGTACGCCCTGCTAGCCTTCACTTAGGAGCACAAGAAAGTTGAAAGGGGGTGCGACTGTCCAGAGAACGCGCTCGGCGTTTTATACTGCCCAGAACGCCACCTTCTGTCACGTGGTTTCCCTTTCCCCCTCTTCTCGTTCTCATTCCTCGAGAACTAGGAAGGCCACGCTGGAATTTTGCTCTTGAAGTCGGCAGACAGCGACGTTTTGCTCCCCAAGGGCCGTCGTCGTGTCGCATGGCTACGATTTCCGACACACAATGACACGCCACGCATGCACGCTTAACTAACTCGCTTTCAACGGTTACGCTGTCGCTCGGAAGTGCGTTGCGCGATTCTCGTTGTTTAATTCTGCTTTTTGCATTCATGCCGTTTTGCGTTGTTTTCCTTTCTGGCGCATGAAGACGCAACGAACCGAAAGGACAGCGGTGGAGGTTGGGACGTTTGCTCTAGTGCAACTTCAAATCGTTAAGAAAAACTCGCAGAGTCTTTTACGCATTCTATTTCTTTTTGACCTCCGCTCATGACACATAACCATTGAAGAGGATTGGCTGAGTAGAAGGTAAAGTCTTCGCATAATTACAGTACTATAGTATTGTTAGGTCCAACAGCTAATATTGTGATTAGTTGGTGATTTGAAGCACCAATTAATGTTATGCGCCTCGAGTTTAGCTGGCTATCATTTTAGACGCAGTGAGAACATCCCTGTGGCTGTACCGCAAAGAAGTGGCCGCGAACGAAAGAAGAACATGTTCCGATAGTTCCAGGCCCAATTTTTCGTTAAGACAACCTAAGATGAAAGTCATATTTTCCCTCCTATTTGGTGTATTTATGTGGTCCCGCCACTCACCGAAAGCTTTCTGCATTCAAATTTCGTAAATTGCGAGATGTGAGACTTCGGTCCGAACCCACAAACTTCAAGAAGTGTGAAGCACAAAATTTTGATGGAACTGTGAATCACGAAATTCCGATGCCTCATTCCGCCTCTTAATTTTTATTAATACAGGTCTGGTTCGGTACCATCTGCACTTTACTTTTACTGTCAAGAGCCAACAAGCATCGATAATTTTTTTTTACTTATTTGCCAACGTTTCACAAGCCATAGGCAGAAACATTTAGAAACTATATTAAGAAAATTAAACATTACTCCTAATTCTGAAAACATCTTTGCCCTTGGCGATTCTTCTCTGGGCCCCAACAACAGGAGCGTCTGCATAGCAGTTTGTGAATTTCTCAAATACACAAGGTTTGCTTGTTAGATTTTTCATATTTGTTTTTTATTTACTAATAAAATTATAGTTCTTTAGAATTACCATCGATCTATTCATTTCATAGTAACTCCTGATTGAGGCACTTTCTTATTATGTTGTGACGCAGCACCCTCGTACCGACGTTCCTCGTCTTCACCCGTGGTCTGTTTGCACGTGCACTGCTTGTCTTCTCACGTTTATTGTCACACACCTTTCCAAGGAATTAACCTAACGCGCGCACTGCACTCATCACACACTTTCTCACTAGGTACGCTTGTTGCAAAACGCATTATCACCAGAATTACCTTGGGATCCACATCTCGTGCGTCGTCATCATCAACCGATCGAGCCTCGCAGCTTGCGGCTCGATCGAGAGGAAACGGAGCCCCCATATACACCCGGTTCTTTGCAAGAGCGACAGAGCAACGCCGACTAGAGGCCCTGAGTCCCTTAGCCCCGGTAATGGCCACATCAGACCGAAATTTAGAGACCATTGGGCAATGGATGCTCCTGGAACATGAGAGTGGCAGGGACGAAGATGTCCTGATCCAAGATAAAGATGGCGACGAGAGGGCCGGGAAGGAAAACAATCTGAAGACAGCTGAGGTGCTGGAGGGGTCGACAGAATCACTCTCCTACTCCTGGAGCTTTCGTTCGGCTTGGAACGACGCCGTCGTCCGCAAAGCCCTCTGTAAAGACAGACGTCCACATGTATTCGGCGTGACCCTCTTCGTCAATGTCTTGAGTTTATACATATTGCACATGCACGATTCTATGGCGCTTGTGGAACATTGGCGTAGGCTGGGCGACGGTGTCGAGGAGTTGGGTACTGTTGAACTTTTACTATCTTCTTTCTCTAACAGGGCATGACGCCCACTACGATTTTTTAATTCAAGTAACAATTCGGCACCTTGCTTCCGGAGCTCCTACATCTACCCGCTTGATACCAGCGCCGGCTGAAGCTGCCCTGCGTGAGCTATAGGTGTTAATGCAGAGTTGACTAGCACTGGAAATAGTATGGCTAAAAGTCGCCAACAGCCGCATTATTTGACAACCTCAGCTGAATGCCCTGACGGGTGTGCGTTAGTTTACCTGCTAATTGACGCGTGTTTTGCATGCAGGTCCTAATTGTCCTTGCAGCCCTGACGTTACTGAACAAATGCTACAATGTCCAAGTGACACATGTGTCAGGCACTCCGCGTTGGCGATGGTGTATGCTGCCGCACTTTCCTGTGCCACGCGATTCATCTCCCTGTGGGAGATGAATCGCGTGGCACAGGAAAGACCAACGAACGACCAACCAGCAATCGAAGACCAACGTTGTGGGGAATGTTGAGGTGGACGAGCTGCTCGGCCATCTACCAGTCTACGAAGGATTTAACCTTATCTCTGCTTTCCTTAGCTGTCCTTACCACTTGGACGCAGGCATCATGGTAAGCTTGGCCCTCAGTTCCGGCGTTTGCTCGTAATAATAATAATAATAATAATAATAATAATAATAATAATAATAATAATAATAATAATAATAATAATAATAGTGAGTGAGTAAAAACTTTATTGAACATGTCCGGCGTTATTGAGCGGGATGGGGCTACAAGCACCCCGGCCTAGGCGACGGCCTCGAGTCCTTGGACCCGGGCGGCATCCTGGGCTTGCCGGACGACGCACAGTTGATCGGCAAGGTCGTGCATGGCTGAGCAGAGCCGCCTCCCATCGCGCCTCGCGGTTCGAGACCGCCATGTCTACCGGGTTCGTAGGGGACTGCTGCGCGTTACCGGTACACTTCCACAGCATGTGCTGCAGCGTCGCTCTGGCTCCGCACGCCGTACACGCGTCGGACGTGTAAATGCCTGGGTAGCAGAGGCGAAGGATCACCGGATTCGGGTACGTGTGTGTCTGTAGTTGTCTCCAGGCAACCTGCTGTTTTCTTGTTTAGTTTGGCGTGGGGTGGTGGATAATAATAATAATAATAATAATAATAATAATATAATAATAATAATAATAATAATAATAATAATAATAATAATAATAATAATAATAATAATAATAATAATAATAATAATAATAATAATGAAAAAGACACATTGTTAAATTCTGAGCAGCTTCTTAAGGAAACTGAATCCATAGGGAACATGTGCCAGTTTGGGTTAAATTTTGACTGCTTTTTTCCCCTGGAGTTGCTTTTGGTACCTTCACTCACGTGACGCCTTTTTTCTGCAAGTGTTGATGTTTTAGTTCTCATCCCGTTCCCTAGCTGCGCGTTTGTTGATGACGTTGTGTAGTATGTAGATGGCGTTGTGTAGTGATGACGTTGTGTATATGGCAGATGAGGATGTGTAGATGGCGTTGCGTAGATGTGTAGTGATGATGTTGTATAGATGGTATAGATGTAGGTTTGTAGATGGCGTGTGTGGACGTGTAGTTATGATGTTGTGTAGAGCATGTAGATGGCGTTATGTAGATGTGTTGTATTCAGGTTGTGTAGAGTATGCAGATGGCGTTGTGTAGTTGTGTAGATGGCAGATGTGTAGATAGCGTTGTGTAGATGGCAGATGTGGATGTGTAGATGGGGTTGTGTAGATGCGCAGTGATGATGTTGTTTAGATGGTAGATGTAGATGTGTAGATGGCGTGTGTAGATGTGTAGTGATGATATTGTGTAGAGTATGTAGATAGTGTTGTGTAGATGGTAGATGTAGATGTGTAGATGGCGTTGTGTAGATGTGTAGTGATGGTGTAGTGTAGAGTATGCAGATGGCGTTGTGTAGATGGCAGATGTGTACATGACGTGTAGATGTGTATAATGATGACGTTGTGTAGAGTATGCAGATGGCTTTGTGTAGCGATGTCGTTGTGTAGGGATGGCGTTATGTATACAAGGTAAATGGTATTTCAAAGCAAACTTACGTTGGGGAGTGAAGAAGTAACATTATTCATGGCCCCGTAAACAAGCAATGAACGCGTAACGGAACTGGCCGGTGCATAGCGCCGTGAAGGCACCCCGAGAACACAAAAGGTGTTAAAAAATACCGTCTCCCTGCCTTACACCCTTCTTTATAGGAATTCTGTCCCCTTCTTTGTGGAGAACTATGCTGGCTTTCGATCCACTGTAGATTTCTTCCAGTATGTTTATGTAACATTCGTCGATGTCCTGATTTTGTAGTGGCTGCATCACTGTTGATATTTCGACAGAGTCAAACGCCTCCTCGTAATCTATGAAGGCTCTCCATAGGGGTTGGTTGTATAACGCCGATTTTTCTATGACCCCATTGATGATATGAATATTCATGGTCTATTGTGGAGTAGCTTGTACGAAGTCTTGCTTGGTCCGTTTGTTGATTGAACTCAATTATCGCCTTAATGCTATTAGGTATTATTTTTGTAAATAGTTTGTGAAGAACGGGCAGTAAGTTGATCGGCCTGTAATTTTTCAAGTCCTTGACGTCTCCTTTCTTGTGTATTTATATAATGCTGGCGTTCTTCCAAGATTCTAGTAGCCTTCCCGTCAAGAGACACTTCGTATAGTGCTAGTTTTTCTAACACAATTTCTCCGCCATCTTTAAGCAGGTCCGTTGTTACCTTATCCTCACCAGCGGCTCTGCCTCTCTGCATTTCTTCTAGGGCTTTCTTTACTTCCCCTGTCATTACTGTCAGGACGTCAAATTCCTCTTGGCCATTATTGCCTCTCACGATAACATTCTGCATGTTTCGGCTTCTGTAC